GCATAACAACCGGATTGCAGCGGTGCTGTGATTTGATGACATAAGATGCTATACTCTCCTTCCCTCTTTCCTTCCTTCCAGTAGTTCTGTAATATTCGGAATAGGAATCGAAATCGAATAGCGCGAACTCGGAATCGGAATGAAAACCCACTGAATGACGCAAAGTTAGGTAGAACCAAGACGAGCTGTAGATACAGTTACCTAATTGTGTTCAAAAAATCACGGAAATATATATCACAAGCAATAAGCATCATTGGTCGATTCTTGAATGTCCAATCAACAACGATGTGATTTATGTGTTTGCCTTCTTGCACTCAACCAATCCGGATGATGCCAATCGAGACCACAGGATTGGTCGATTATTCCGTTTCTTGATTGGTTACCTGGAAGCTGTACTGCGGTGCGTGCGTACTCGTTACACAATTACCGCAAGTTCACACCACACCGGTCACTGTGATTTTTTCCCTGATTAAATATTCACCTAGTAACCCTGCTTCTTCCTTCCTTCGTTTTATGTTCTTCACAGCCTATCACGTCTCGGGTGGGGGGAGGGGTGAGTTCTAATTTTTATGAGGTCTCTATCATGAGATTGATAATCCGTAGATATAGGAGATACCTTGTGTACTAATCCTCGTCACGCGTATGACATTTTTACAACCCCAAATGTCCGTTCTTGGCACGTGTTCAAACAGACTGATTTTCTCCCCCACTCTCATTGGTTCAGTTGGTTATCCGAGCGATGAGGCTATTCTCCCATTCGAAGGATTCACCGCTATTTTTATTGTACCGAACACGGTTGATTCGAGCACACTGGTGGAATTCAATCTGGAAGAAGGGGCTTGTGAATTGCAAGTTCTTTGCAAAAAAAGTGTGTGCACGGTGAGTGAGTGAGTGACCCAGTCCCCAGACTTGATCACTGTTTGAATTAATTGGTCAGATGTATTATTGTACAACTGTAACTGTTTCGGATACCAGTCCCGAGTGAAATCAGTGGAATTTGTTCAGACATTCAGAACACACATTTTAACCACCACCAGTGAGGTCAACCCCAGTGAGCTATTTGGAACACGTGTATTGACCAGAATAAACACGATCATCAAAACAGCAATTATTTGTTAGAAACCTGGCAGTATTCCGCCCATATGCAAAGATTATTGTACCATGATTTGTTTGGCACACAGTCCGGAATGCCATGTCACCTTCCCCTATTTCGCGATTATCAGTTGCCCGAAGATATGTCCTTTTATCGTGGATGTTGCAGGATTATTGTCCACTAAAATTATTTATCAAACGATTCCGTTCCATCTATTAGAATTCTTATTTGGATCGAGCTACTGTTGTGGATCTCACTTCGCGGGAATTCCTTTACTTCTCCGTTTCCCTTTTCCACACAGTTTAGTTGCGGTTGAAATGTCATTACTGGTTATTGACCACGGTAAATGTCTTTTGACTAGATGCAGCTAGTGTGTGTTTGGTTTGATTCCCGACAGAGACCGGGAAATTGTACACACTGCTGAAGAGTTCCACCAACTTGAGACTGAATAGTTGTTCTGGGCACCTATTCAAAAACTTCATAAATGTAAATAACAATATGCAATACGTTGTAAACGTTTTCTCCTATAAAATACGAGTGAGATGTAAGACTTTCTTAAATGCGCCTCATTACTGTGACAAATTTAGCCCTATCTGGTGTAAAAATCAACAACAAGGCGCTCAGAATTTATTTCCCATCGAAATCATCACTCGGGATGGACACTTTTTATTTTACTTCCTTTTATTGAATATACAAAGATACAATTTTCAGGAAGGGGCGGCGGCCAATCAAAAGGCTGCCATATAAAACACAAAGGGGGAAAATTAGGTGGTGGTGGTAAGATTCGAACACAGGTCCTCTGGAGTGATAACGGGATGACGTCACGTTATATATATATGCAGGTCTAATCGAAACTGAAGCAACAGGTCCCTGTGAAACACTTGTCGGTTCGTATGGGCAACAACATTTATACTGAAGAAAATTTTTTTCAAAACTAATAATAAACAAGTCTTGGAGAGTCTTTATATCCGTGATTTTCCTGAATCGTTTATACTCAGCAGGTGGAATAGTTCAAAATGTAGCGGATACTCCCATTTTGTCAGTAGTGGTTGACCTAGACCATGATGAGTTAAGAGCTAACTAAAGAGAATGGAACAGTTTTTATTAACAACAAATTAACATGGATAATAAGCAAGATGTAAAATTTGTGTACACTAGTGGTCGGTTAGTCTGTTTTTGTTCTTTAGAACTTTTTCGAGTCTCTTCGGTGTCAAACCCACCAACTTTGTTATGAAGTCATTTT